GTCCCTAACCATTTTTTTCTTCCGTCTGGCGGCTCCCGAGAGTTTTTTACCCCTCGGTCGTTTGCCAGCTGCGGAGCCCGATGGTTCTTCCGAGGTTGATGCTATGTTGATGTCCATATCGTTCCCACGAGCAGCTAGGGAAAGGTTGGTCCACCCACACAGAGTCCCGCATGTGTGGGTAAGGCTGATAAAATGAGGTGCGCCTGTTGCCTCAGGGTTAGTCGCTATTGACTGGGCTTCCCCCAGCCTTGCATCTCTTGGCGCGCACTGCCACCTGGGGACGCGCCCGATGGATAGCTCAACCTGCACGGGTGCAGCTGACTTGGTTCTGCTAATTTAAAATTTTTGACGTCAAGAATGCATTTTGATCAACATTCTACATTATCGACATTATCTCCTGGTTTCTGAGTTTCTATTAAATTAGGGCCAATCATGGATAGACTGCTGTTTTGATCAGATGATCCAATGTGGTTTTGGCTACAGTTACAAAACGTTTAAAACCCGTAGCTTCTTCAGTTCCGTCGTTATGAATGTTTGAAGCCCAAGTTACCCTTTTGCTCGTGTTGTTTCTGGTCACTTTTTCACATTTACCAAATAACAGCAAATTTTAAATTGATTTGTGTTTGCGTGGATTAATCGGTTGCAACTGCTTTTACAGCCTCAAAAAATCCATGGCTGCAGCTGTTTTCGCTGAGTTTTGACTGTTTCGAGCTATCGTTGCATTTTCGCCATCAAGGGCAATATTTTGTTAATGTTTCTCTGCTCCTATTAAATTTTGACAATCCGGCGTTTGTTTGCGGTTTTCTTCAGTTGAACTACTGACATTTTCTCTATAGCCCGGAAAACTTTTAGACCGGCAATTGCCCTGGTTATGAATTTTTGAAGTCAAAGATGCATTTTGGACAACCCTCAACAGAGTCCAGATTTTGTCCAGGTTTCTGAATTTTTATTAAATTAGGGAAAATCATTAAAGGACGGGTGTTTTTGTCAGCCAACAATATGTTATACAATTCAAATTGTATACTATCCCTACTATTAATTAAAAAATAAAGGTAAGAAACATTGCACCTTTATGTACCCGTTTTCAAAGTCAAAATACTTCGAAAATGTTGAGAAACTGTCAGACGAAAGTGCCAGTGAATCAAAAATTTCTTAATTTCTAAATCATCATTACAATTACACATATGTCTCAGTTTACCAAATATTTCCTTGCTCGTCGATTATTTCAATATCCACTAGGAAGCCAGTGTAAAGGGCAGTATCGGCTAAAGCATGTAATTCCAGAACGCCTGAAGAAAGTGCCAGAGCAATCTGATCCTAAATTTTCTGAGGTATGTAGGTAGAACCATTATTTATCCGAAAGAGCTAAATTTTCTTCCTTGAACGTTCAAAAGTGAATTTATCCAATTCAGTTTTTTGACATTATAAAAACTTTTCTCTCAATCGTTCAACGCGAATTGCTAAATATGCTAACACTAAAACTTACAAATTGATAAAATAATTGTAATATTTATTTGTAAACCTAACGCAAAGCTTCACCTTCCAGATGATAGAATACTTTTTCCATCAAGCATGTATTGTTTGTGAAGATAAGCTTGTTAAAGATTTAGGAAAAATTCGAGGAAATATTGAAACGAAGGARCAGCGTCAAGCTAAAGTTACAGCCATTTTCAAGCAAATTGAGGCATGCGATGCCATGATAGAAGTGGCATTTCCGATGAAACGAGACACTGGAGAGTATGAAATAATTCAAGGATATAGAGCGCAACATAGTCAACATAAATTGCCAACCAAAGGTAGACGCTCATGCGGGAGTAGCTGTGGGTTTTGATCTACAGGGTGTCCCATAAGTACATGATCAAAAGGGTACTGCGATATTCTTTGGATCAAAAGAAGACGATGGGAGCTAACTTTTATTAACAAGAAATGTCTGGCTACTCCGCTATTGATGACTAAAGTTCGTCAAAAAATTGCCTTTTAGAAATATCAGAAGAATGGTACGATGTATTTTGGTGAAACTAGTTGTGAATTTGTTCTTATTTAAAACACATATTTTGATGAAATAATCGAGTTCAGCCGTTTTGGACAAGTGGTGAATTCTTGAGTGTCGTGGTACACAGACTACCAGAACTTTTTATTTGGTGGATGGAATTAATTCATTTTTGATTTACCAATAATTTATTTACAATTTTGTGCTTTTTGTAAAATCTTGTAGAATCTATAGTTTTTGTGCAAAAAAATATGTCTTTTTTCTTGCCACTTAACAATATTAGACATTAAGTGCAAATGTGCGCGCGCACACGCGTACGCTTTCACGCAAGTTGTCTTCGCAAGACTTTAATCTTTGACCATTTGGGTCACTTCTTCACTAGAAAAGGTAATTCGAAACGAATTTGTGAGACTGATTGACAATTAATTTATTCCTCGTATATCGATATTTGCAGTTAGTGTCTAAAATTGTTAAGTGGCAAGAAAACAGGCATGTTTTTTTGCGCAAAACCTATGAATACGACAAATGTTTACAAAGAGCACAAAATTATGAATAAATGATTAGTACATCAACAAAAAAAAACGAGTTGATTTCATAAAATTCACCAAATAAACAGTTCTGGTAGTTTTTGTACCAAGACACTCAAGAATCCACCACTTGTCCAAAACGGATGAGAGCTCGCTTGCTTCATCAAAATATGAGTCTTACATAATGAACAAATTCACAGCGAGTTTGAGCAAAATACATCGTATCATTCTGCCGATATTTAAAAAAGATAAATTGTTTGAAGAACTTTGACCATCAATAGCAGGAGAGCCAAACATTTGTTGTTAATAAGAGTTAGGTCACATTTAGGAATGTTTTCCGGGCTTTGAAGCCGTGGTCTATCGGAATTTTTTCCTGACGTTTCGTCCACAACTGCGATGGACATTTTCAAAGGCGATGAGGCAGTGGGCGAAGTGATCTCCCGTGCTTTCCTACTAAGACTGATTCAACTGCTGGATTCCGCGTCGTATTTATTATTATTTTTATGCAGCCCAGCCGTGTGTGCTCATGCGTGGGGGATGGGTGGGGGTTCCAAATACGCTTCAACAAAATTGACATTCTGCACCAATCTGAAAGATACTACCCGAGACTCACCAGAGAGGCCATCGAAATATTTAAACACCAAAACAATTTTAACAGAAAAGAA